CCACTGTTAGCCATGTGTCCCGGTAACAGAAAGAACGATCGCTCTAAACTACACTGGACGGAAAGTACGACAGCAGCTTTCGAAGAATGTAAAACCCAGCTTTCAAATGCATCTCTTTTAGCACACCCCTCGAAGAACGCCGAGTTGTCATTATGGGTCGACGCTTCAGATAAAGCTAAACTTCGAACCCTTGGCATACTTTTCAAAAAAATTCGACAAAACGCAGGTACGTTACAGCACTTATGACAGGGAACTTACAGCAATATTTATGGCCGTTTATCATTTTAAATACATGCTAGAGGGACGCATCTGTCACATCTACAGCGATCACAAACCACTAATTTACGCATTTCAGAAGAATCCGGAAAAGTGCTCCAACCGCCAAGCTCGCCAGCTTGATWACATTTCCCAAATAACTACAGACATTCGCCATGTGGAAGGAAAAGAGAACGTAACAGCTGACATGCTCTCCAGAATTRCGCAAATCCAAACAACCAGTTTAGATTACAACAAACTCGCGGAAGACTAAAAAGTCGATCCAGAACTCAAGCTTCTACTCCAAAACAACGTTAACTCATCGCTTCAGTTAAAATTATTTACAATACCCGGATGCGATAAACAAATAGTCTGCGACGCATCGACCGGAAACATAAGACCATTCATCACAAAGAAGTTCCGCTCTGAAGTGTTACGAGCTACCCATGGGTTATGCCACCCAGGTACTCGGGCTACTGACAAGCAGATTTCTTTGGCCTGGAATTCAAAAAGACAGTATTGCATTCGCAAGAGTATGCGAACAATGCCAAAAGGCAAAAATCACCCGACACACATTTACGCCTCTCAAACGCTACGAGTCCGGAGACTCTCGATTCGATCACATTAATATCGACGBTGTAGGACCCTTTCCCTTACATGCAGGTAACCGTTATTGTCTAACAATCATCGAACKCTTYTCGAGATGGCCAGAAKCTATTCCTATACCCGATATGACAGCACCAACTATTGCAAAGGCTCTCATCRCCAATTGGATTGCAAGATTTGGAGTTCCAGCCGTCATTACATCAGATCGTGGACGTCAATTTACATCTACTTTATTTGCAGAGCTAACAACATCGCTTGGCATAACGCATCTGAAGACAACACCATATCACCCACAAGCAAACGGTATAGTAGAAAG